AAAATTTGGCCTTCTGGATGCTTTTCTTTTGGGAATAGATACAGGGTATCAGAAGAGATTATGTCTAATTAATAATTTCATCAATTTTAATCTCTAACCCGAAAGAAATTAAATCATTTACAATCTCACAAAAATGCAGGTCAGAAGGAAATATTACATCATATATTTTGATCTCCCGTTTCTCAAAGACATGATACATGGTTTGGGGATGAAGTGTTAAGTCCAAACATTTCAGTTAGACCACATATTTCAGTCCTCAAAAAAGTGAAGTGTGCATCACAAAGACCCACCACAACTGCCCAAAGCATCAGAGGCTGAGACCTCTGGTGGGAAGTGATTAGATGAGATATGCTTGTATGACTCCCCCCACCCCCAGCAAGCCATAACTCCTGCTGCAAGGGAAGAACAAGGCTGTCCCTCAATCTCTCTTGCACTGTCCTCAGAAACCTAATTTGAAAGAACATGCACGGTAAGAATTTAAAGTGGAGCATTTTCTTTATCAGCCTCAAAGCAGTAAGTGACCCACTCTCAATATCCCATTTCCAACAGAAAGTCTGAGGAATTCCTCTAGCTAAAACACTAACCCTTCCAAGACATGACCAACCTTGCCTTAAAGACGACACCTCAAGTGCAGATGTCCATCCTTATAGGGAGTGCTGCTGCCATGCTCTAAAGATGACCAAGTATCCTGATCTAGTGAAAGATGTCTGTCCATGGCAGGAGGTTTGGACCAAATGATCTTTAAAGGTCCCTTCCAACACAAAAAACACTTCCTATGATTCCAGGATTTTTAGAATGAGATAAATCTAGCTCTTACAGTAGGTCCCTAGGATAGACTCAGAATTAGTAAAGCAAACCTCTGCTAAAATGCTTGTGCAATGTTTGCCACCTCTCATGAAAAACTGATCCAATGCTTCTCTGCCAGGAACAGCATCTCAACAAAACAGCCAGAACAGGACCTGGTGAACTTCTGCCTACAGAAGCCATCAGGGGCAACTGAGGCATTAATTTTCCGAGACTTCCATTAAACCTATCACTTCTGCCCTAATAATCTCTGGCCCACCAGAAGTGTTTGCTCCTCCGAATGAGGTGCACCAATAATCTGCACTGTCCTTTTTAACAACTGCACTCCTCAGGATTTGAGTCATTAAGACATAAATGCACAGCAATAATTTTAAAGAGAGGCAGAAATCAACATTTTTCCCAATTTTTTGCCACAGCAAGTCACAGAGCAGAACTAAAGCTACTACAAACACAAGAGGCAAGCACGAAGGAGGAGGAGTGAGAACAACGTTATGCAAGCTATACTAATGGTTTGCTAATCTGGTAAAAATTAATCAGAGGTTGGAGAGACAGAGGGGGGAAAAAAAAAAAAAGAGGTAGTTTTCTGCCTAACAGTGACTTCAACTGCATCGGATAAAGGAAAGGACATGCAGGCAGGAGCAGACAACATGGCAGCAGGGTCGGAGGGGGAAAACTGCTACTGGCCACTGCAGCAAGCCAGTATGCCTAGCCACATCTTCAGATGTTTGCACCAAGGCCAGAAAAGTTTTAAAAATCGTGACCTTGCCCTGATGCCTCAAAGCACAGTACAGTGCCTTGGTAAAGCACTAACGGGAACACCAGAGATGCTCTGGCGCCAAGAAAAACTGTTACAAACAGTCTTTCTTTATTTCATTTAAAACTTCAAAGGCTTTCATAATGCTAAAAGTTGAGTATACATTCTTCCTCAATGGAAACTTTAATTACACTTATGTTTTTAAAGCCACGTGCTTGTGGCATAAAAGAAAAATGACACACTTCTTGATACAGAACAAGCTGAGGTAAGGTCCTCCTATTGAGGGAGATGACTGTTACAAAACGCAAAAGTAAGAGGAGGAAGGGGCATCTTTCTTTTGCAGAGCAACTGAAATTCCAGTATGTTGATATAATTGGAGAGAGGTTCTCAAGCTTTTAACTGTGCTTTGACATACCTGATCCAATTAACAGCCTGTGACTGGCAGTTTGATATGATGGAATTTACTGACTCGATATTTCAACCTGAGAGGTGATAGATTTTGGAAAGCTCCACTGGAATTTTCCACATGACTAGTCTTTGTGGATGAATCAATAAAGATTCTTGTTTAAGTATATGTAAAGACTCTTTGTCCATTCCCCACCCCATCCTAGACAGCACAGTTCCGGCCGCATTGCTGCAACAGAAAAACCATTCGCCGCCAAAGACGCCTGGTCCACTTACAGCCCCAGACAGCAGGGTTCCAGCCACATTACAACAACAGAAAAACCATTGGCTGCAGTGGTTTTAAGCTTGCAAAAACATGACTAGAGTATGCTCGGATTTCTACATGATGGAACAGATCAACTCTAGGAGCAGTGATTAAATTCTGTGAAGAAACTGCCAAAATAGGATGAGAATAAACATTAAGAAACAATGAACCACATTATGCAATTTGCAACTCAGTATAGGACAGATTTTCAAAGACTCACAGCTTCAGATACTAACCTGTTTTGCTTTCAGTGACTGAATCACTCTAAAGCAGTTCTGTTTGATGTCCTTAAAATCTTTTTTTTTTAAAAAAAAAAAACAAAAACAACAAACCACAGCCAAGCTCTCCCTGAAGTTATGAAGTCCTCTTTCTTAAAGTGTACACTTGCTTTGTGTAGTTGTTCTTTCCCTCCTTAACATTAACTCTCTTGTCTGCTGGCTTAACTTCACAGAGAGTTGGGTTTTTTTTAATGGTAATAAGAGTAAATACTGTGCACAAAGATGTCTAGTTAAGATAGATGCCCAGAGTAAGTGAATATTGTGCTTGTTTATTCTTATGAAAGAAGATAGAACAAAGGGAGCAAACAACTGTTTAACACTCAACCAGGCAGATATGGAACTGGAAGACAGCCGATTAGGATCCGGCTAGCCACTTGGTCCGAGAGCCACACCAAAGAACAGAATCAGCATTATAAATACACACAGCAGTTTTAAGATTCCCCGTCCTCTGCTAGAAGCTTCTTAAAAGAAGTTGCATAGTAAAAGGTATTACGTAATGGACTTGAATGGCCTTTTGGTGTTGAAAGCATCAGGGCTGAGTGAGAAAAGGAGGGAGGGAGAGAGGAAGGGAGAGGGAAGGAGGGAGTTCTCCCGTGTTTGGCACCAGCCACTCCTCAGATCAGCCAAACCACCTGCAGGACTTCACCTGAAGAGTGCCAGAATGAGTTCATCTGAAGCATCTCTGATTTGGGACACTTGGAAAGTCATATTTGTTTACTATCAAATGCATGACTCATAGCTGAAACACTATGTTAAAACAGTCAAAGGTCACAACATGCTCTAGTTCTCAAAAAAAGATAAACATAGACAGACAATAAAAGTTAACAGCGCACGTACCAGCTTCATTGTCAATTGGGAACTCCCACAGTATTCCTTCTTTTGTCCACTGGATCATCTCCTCAAAACCGTTTCGGGGAGGCTGTGCAGTTATTGCTGCAATCTCCTTCGCAAATTCCAGATCCCAAATTGTTGGTGAAGATACTAAAAAAGAAATTTTGTAAATATCTGTCAGCATGCCAAAGACTTCTCACTAGCTAAAATGAAGTCCTTTAACATTAATCTTAACGGAGGCTAATACTTTCAGCTGTGCAAATTTTTCTACCCCAGATGCCAGCATCACCTTTCTCAAATGAGAATTCTCTGTTCACATGAAAGTCCATTAAATTCTCAAATGTCTGGTGAAACATATGCTGAATTCCTAGGGGACAATTTATTTTTAAGCCTTTCACACAGAGCAGGAATTGAATTTTTCCACAATCTTTTTTTCCTTTTTGTCTTTCACAAATTATACATACAACAAACTCTGAACTTGACTAGTGCACTCTCCTAAAGGAATCTTGCTTACTACCGGAGTTTTCAGGTATTTCACAACTACACTCTCCTTCAGGGAGACAATTCAATCTACAAATGATGGCAATTCCTTCCCCAACACTCTTAAGTGTCCCGGTTTTTGTCTCTTGGGCTTGGGAAATCCTGATTTCCTATTCTTCTCCCAAAGTCAAACACTCCTTTTAGGGATGCATCTTTCCTGATGCATATAATTTTTTTTTTTTTTTGAAACCAAAGTGTACTCATATGGCAGCAGAGTTACTCTTATGGAGTTCCTGCCCCTCCACCCAGGAGAACTGAACGGCATGGCTGAAGTGAAGGGAACAGGCTGTTACCACAGGACAGGGAGGAACCAGTGCCTTGGGCTGCTGTCTCATCAGCTGGCCTAAGTCACACTCCCCTTTGTATTCTTGTCTCTCCCTGTTATCAAGTCACCCTAAGCTCCTTGAAACAGAGATCTTGATGTGAATTCAAATGTTACAGTCCATTTGAAGTGGATCATGGCCAATCACCTATTATTTTACTACCCTATAAGTGTAACTATTTGAAACTAAGATATAATTTTGTCTCTGGCTCAGTGGCTTACAACTCAACTGGATTTTAAAGAAAAAAAAAATCCCTTCCCTCCTTTAAGAAGAAACAAAATGAAAGGGCAAACAGTATTTTTACATATTGAAAAGTGTTCTCATTTTTTGTGTTAAATCAGAAGACACTTTTTCAAATTATTTCTTACTTAGCAGGGAAATTTCCAGAAGTATATTCCCTAGCTGCCTACTTTGATTTGAGGGCTGGAGGCTGGAATAAAATACACTTAAAAGACAACATGAGAAACCACACCAGAATGAAATTATTGTCCACATCTTAAAGAATACTTTCTAATAATGCGCTACTAATAAATCTTCTGTGAAACAGAAAATAATACTGATATTTTACGTCAACAGTTATGAATAATTTTTTCAAGGTGCCAATTTACTTTCCAGTTAACATTCAGGTTTTCAAAATAAATATTCAATACATAACACAGAATCTGCTGTTCTATCATGTATAAACAATATTTTAACTCATTATCTCCTCTAATATAAGCCAAGACAGTGAAAGCAAATGAATCAAGGTACCAAGTATTATAATGGTATTTCTCAAGATTAACACACAAAAATGCTTTGTCATCAGGCTTAGTCACTAAGCCAAGTAATAAGCTTCCTGGCTCAGAAAATACTATAGATTTATTTCCTCAAGGCTACCTGGAATCAAACAAGGAAACACCACATTAAAAGCTAAAAGAAGCTTACTTCTTAGTATCTAATTACAAATCCAATAAAGACCACTTGCTCTCTTACACAATTTGTGCACATTCCAGTTTTGTGGTAAAAAAAAAAATGTATCTCACTTTTTATCTAGGGTGACTATTATGTGCCGCTGCGTCTGCATTGTGCTCATGCAAGAAAGAAAGGTTAAATTCTCACTATTTTACCTGAGTAAATTTGATTCAACTCAAACACCAGTTACTTGAACATCACATTTGTCAAGACAGCTAAAAACAAACACTGCATCATTCATTATGTTTTTATATGTAAAATGGACCAACTTTAAGGAAATTGGCAGTTTTAAAAACGAGCAAATTGAATTCCATTCTAATAAGCAACTTTCATAGTCCACTACAGAGGTGGCTGCATTCAGAAAGCCCACAGCTGCTTGAAAATATGCAAGTAACACTATCTGACATTTTACTAAAGAAATTAAGTAAACAAATTAATTTCTCCCTGCAGTTTCAAGTGTTAAAAAAAAAAAACGAACTCAGCTAGAATCTGTCAAAAACTAACAGTCCTACTCTTGAAACAGAAACAAATACATATCATTTTCTAAGATATCAAGGAGGAATACTATTTCTTCTGCAGCTGCTGGCTTTACATATAGTTCTAAGTCACTACGCTGGAATAAAGCCTTTTTTCCAAAAGGCCTCAGAATAGCTTAGGGAAATCAGCATATTAAAAGCCAGTGCTAACAATGCACAGTTTCATTGTTCAGAAAGAAAATGGAGGGAGTACTTTAGGTGACTTGCCCATATTCACATACTCTTAGCCAAAACTCAGTAAAGCTAAGTCTTTATGCATGAGAACTATCCCCCTTACGTGGCATTAAGCCCGTTCCTGCAGAGCTGGGCCATTCAGTGAATATGAAGGTGGCTCATACCTGTTTTGCCGTTGTTTTTTGGTTTTATCATACAGGAGTTTTGGGATGTGTATTTGGTGGATAAGGAATTTGCTGGATAGTCGCATCCAGAGTAGTGGTCAATGGCTCAATGTCTGGACAGAGAGCACTAACAAGTGGTGTCTCTCAGGGGTCCATATAGGGACCAGTACGGTTTACTATCTTCATCAACAGTTTACTACCTTCATCAACAACACAGACAGTGGAATCGAGTGCATGCTCAGCAAATTTGCCAACATCACCAAGCTGAGTGGTACAGTTGACACACCTGAGGGAAGGGATGCCATTCAGAGGGACCTGGACAACTGGAGAAGTGGGCTCATGTGAACCTCATGAGGTTCAACAAGGCTAAGTGCAAGGTCCTGCACCTGGGTCGAGGCAACTCCTGGTATCAATATAGGCTGGGGGATGAAGGGAGTGAGAGCAGCCCTGAGCAGAAGGACTTGGGGGTACTGGTGGATGAAAAACTGGACATGAGCTGGCAATGTGCGCACACAGCCCACAAAGCCAACTGGCTTCATCACAAGCAGCATGGCCAGCAGGTCAAGGGAGGAGATTCTCCCCCTCTGCTCCACTCTGGTGAGAACCCTCACTGCAGTACTGCCTTCAGCTCTGCGGCCCCCAACACAAGAAGGACATGGACCTGTTGGAGTTGGTCCAGAGAAGGGCCACAAAGATGATCAGAGGGCTGGAGCACCTCTCCTAAGAGGAAAGGTTGAGAGAGTTGGGGTTGTTCAACCTGGAGAAGAGAAGGCTCCAGGGAGACCTTATTGCGGCCTTTCAGTATGTAAAGGAGGCTTGTAAGAAAGAAGAGGACAGACTTCTTAGTAGGTCTGCAGCGATAGGACAAGGGGTAATGGTTTTAAACTAAACGAGTGTAGATTCAGACTAGATACAAGGAGGACATTTTCTATGATGAGGGTGGTGAAACACTGGCACGGGTTGCCCAGAGAGGCGGTAGATGCCCCATCCCTGGAAACATTCAAGGTCAGGTTGGACAGGGCTCTGAGCAACCTGATCGAGTTGAAGATGTCCCTGCTCATTGCAGGGGGATTGGACTAGACGACCTTTAAAGGTCCCTTCCAACCCAAACCATTCTATGATTCTAAACCTATATGAAGAGCTTTACAGTAGGTAAAGCAAGGCAGCATTTGCAGCCACTTACAGGATCTTTCAAGCTACATATACAACACTTATCAAATGCGTGGTCTTGGGTTTTTTTCTACCCTGCTTATGCTTAGCCACCTGTAGAGCACACTTGTTTCCCCCGGGATCACAGCCTTGTGTTTCTTTGACATAAAACAAATGCAGGAAGTTTGCAACTTGACCAAAAAAGCTACTGGAGCCAACATACCCATTCTCCAGGCTGGTTTTACACTGACAAAAGACAGACTGGCCTTAATGACAAAAAGCCGGTTTTACCCTTCAAGTTCAGTAACAAAATGTCCTGATTCATACAGAAAACATTAATCTATTACACTGCATCGAAGTTCTGCTTATTAAAAATCAGAGTTAAATTATTCATTTTTTTTATAGGTTTGAAAGCAGGAAGTTAACAGGTCATAAATCTCCTTCACAATAGTGAATCTCTTGATATTCTAAAAAGTCAGAACTTAACTTCACTGGGTTCTCCATTATTGAATTTTCACTAACCTTTTTTCAGTGCGTTTTCTGTTTCTGTAGAAGCCTTAGTGAATATATTAAGCCTCCTTCCTACTTTGAGACTTCTGTAAACAAAAAAGAAAAACTATTTAATATTTCACAACACTTCATAACATTGCCAGATAACAAATTTAAAAGCACAAAATAATCTCATGAACTAACAGATCTCTGGAGAAAAAAAAAAAATGAGATAGTGACTCCCACTAAAATCCTCAAGCTTTTAACCAGAGGAAGCATTTATGACTTTATTATTCATCTGTAAAAGAGCTTCCCAAAAATTTCCATGTGAAAGAATGAGCATAAATCAAACATTATATTTGCAGTCATTTTTTACTGAAATATTTAGGAATCTGAACAAAACTAAACAGTATCAAACGACAGTACTCAAGCAATTTTACAAAGCTGCAACTAAAAAGTGAACCTGGTGATTTGGGTTTTTTCCCCTGTAAAAAATATTGCACAATTCAGGAAGAGAAAAGGCAACAGCTAAATCAAACAATTCCTGCTTTATGACATAAATAGCCTTTTTGGAAGATTACACAGCCATGTTCTCTGCCATATGGCAAACACTCAAAGTGTATCTGTATGATATATTTTAAAACAGCATCACTCTGATGCTCTCTCTTCTGAATATAAAAATATTTCACTCTGACCATCTATTTTTAATCATATTTATCTTTAGCATAAGCCTATATTAAAAGAAATTTTTTAAAAAAAAAAAATCTAAGAGTTCCACAAGTAATCAAATTTTCTTATAAGTGGAAGCAAAGAAAAAACAATGCCTTTACTGTAGAACACAGTCAACTTCAGAACAAATGATTCTTTTAATCATACAATTTTACAGGTTTCCACCGACATTCAAATAGTTCTTACTTCATGTTATTATATTTATTCACTGTTACCCTGGCAATACTTGCCGTCCCTGACCTTAAAATTTCACCTCTCTGGATTTACTGCAGGTTTCTGATGGCCACAACTACTTCTGCAAACCTGCTCTTGTCATATTACACTTACTGATGTAACTACCCTGGATCTATTTCAGCACAGAACAATCTAATTACAGAGCCTTAAAAGAATGTTGATTTAGGATTATATTTTCCTATCTCTGTGTAACTCTCAATAACATTGGCCAAAGATACAAGCATGACTTGGAAGAATATTTATTTTAAAATGACTAGTTCAAGTTACTATAAAGCAACATCACTCATTTCATTGAAATCTACTAACTTGATTTAAACTTACATATTCTTCCTAACCCATTCTTTTCGTATTACGAATAGATAAGTATACCCGTTAGATTTTCAGGGATGCCGGAGGAAACTTAGGACGGAAACTGGAGATAGTGTGCTCATTACAGGGATTTTAAAAACTATTTTAAGGTACTGTTTCTGAAGTTATACACCAAGTACAGTTTTATCACAAAAACAGGGCAAGACAGCTTCTCAGATACCATAAATATAATAAATGTTCTCAAACATAAGTGAAATTCACTTTACTTTGCAGTATGTTAATAGACGAAAACTTTAGAAAAGATATAAAATAATATACACTGTACAAGGACATAATAGCTTAGGTTTTCAGTTTATACTTCTAGATCATATTATTTCATATATTTCAATATGATACCATACATTTCAAACTTTGAAAAATTTTTAATCCAAATAAAGTATTTCTCCTAGTCAGTCAAGAATCAGAGTAATAACAAAATTACTTTCATGTGACTACCAACTCTGTCTGATAATTATCCCCAGATTAAAAATATCTGTAGACCTATTCAGCAGCTGACAATGAAGTCAGTTCCCTTGCTCCTCAACCAGCAGCTTATGGCTGAGTGAAAACCCCTGGACAGAAATATCTAAGCCAGGAGGGCTTGGTCAAGAACCTTGTTCCACTTCTTCCCTCCAACGTCCATTACAACAAGCCTCTCCCGCACTTTTTACAAACTTTGCATTAGGAAAAGCTTGCTGGCCTTATAGCATTGAAGAGGTCCAAGAGGTACTTCCCTAACACACCTTAACAGTTAAACTGTTCAAGAACAAGGAAGTTACTCAGAAACATTTCAGCAAGCAGATTAAGTTCTTCTGATTACTGGCTATAAGCTACTTTGATGTTTTTGCATGATCTACATGGCTCGATGCATATGTTCCAATTTCTTCCTTATGGGAAGTCACAATTCTCTGTTTATGATACACTTAAATAGATGTCTCAGCCAAAGAGGGCAGAATATTGTACATCTGCTCACCCATAAATTTATGCTTTTTTTTTCCTTAGTTATCCAAATTCTGCCTTCAACATTACCTGTCTAAACACAAATGACTCCATCAACTTCCAGCTTCTAACCCCAAGAAAAGGGGATTAATTTGCAAAATAAATTAGTAATTAGAGAAGTTAATCTTACTATAACAGAACTGCTAGAGAAAGAATATACTGAGAAGGAATGCGATGACAAGCTTCCGTGGGAAAATCAAAAGACTGCAGGCAAGAAAGATAACTTACAGGAGTAAAACAAGAGTAAGAGCACTCCTTAATTCATTACAAAATAGACTGGCCACACAAACCAGCAGCAAGATAAATTTAAAGGAATTTACATGATGATTTCAGGATACTATAAAGTTCATTTCATACACAATTATAATGTCATGGACAATAGAGAAATCAATTACAGAATGACTTATCAGTTGCAAGAAGATGGTAAAAAAAAATAAAAAACCCCAAACTTTAAAATCTCTTTAAAACCCCAACAAAATGGATGAAACTTTTCTAAACATAGAACATCTACCAAAGTTTTCCACTAGATGAAAATAAGCCTTCAAAGCCTCCATTTCCCAAAAAGTTAAGAAAGTGATGTAAAAGTGTATTATACATAAGTGAGAATAATTTAAACTAGTTAAAACAAACACAATAACATTTCAGCACCAAGTATTTTTAATTATCTAAAATTTAATATTTAAAAAGCACACATTATTTTATTAGCTGGTTAACATTAACTAGTGTGTTCTCACAGAAGTTTATTTCAATACTAACAGTACTTTTCTTGAAAAACAGTTAAGTAATTTCTTTAAGCTCTGAAGTATCATGGTAACATGAATAAGTACAACTAAATTTAAAATATTATCTATTAGTAACTGATTGCACACTCCTTCTATTGGAAGTGAACACAATAAAAATACCTTCTGGAGTCAAAAGACTGTGACAATCTTTCAGGCTTGATTCTTTGACCATCCTCATCCAACTCCAAGGAAATGCGATTGGATATCCTCACAGCTCTCTGAGCTGGGGACTGCCTTTTAACTGCCATTTCTGAAATAACGTTGCTGAAAATAAAAACATGAATGGAAAAACTCAACAAATCGACAAAGCAAGTTTTGTCATATGTATTAACCAGAAACCCTATTCTCAGTTGGTTTCATAAGCCTCTGTGAGACAGAATTATACATGCCTTGCAAAATACACCCATTTTTAAGTCATCAAACATTCAAGTCTTACTTTTTAAACCATCTCAGTTGTTATATTCTATATAGATTAAATGAAAAGTACTATTTTAGCCTACTAAATCTACAATGAATGCTTTCTTTGAAATTATTTGGTTTCCAACTACAATAAAAACTTCATATATCTCCATACCAATATTCACAGAGTGCACTAGGTATGTTTTGCTAAAGTAAATGAGGAATTTCTCTGGATACAAGCAATATGCTGAAATAGGGAGGCAAAAATCACCAGTTTTTTGGACAGGAACCAACACTGCCCAGGGACAGAGCCCTGCTGCTGCAGACCAAAAGGAAGCTTGCCTTCACACATCAGCTGACATGGGTCAATCATGCCACCCTAATAAGTAGGTCACCTTTCCTGATCCACTGCAATCTGTTGCATTGCGTAATCATATTACAGCATTAACAGACCACATCTTCCTTCGTAATTCTGTAGTCAAAATCATACACGAGGAGCAAACGCTCTGATCTCTTCCAGCAGCGTATGCAGCTCACTCTGAACGCAAAGGGCAAAACACACCACCTTTCTGCCTCCACCGATTAGTCCCCTTAACTGGTAAGTCTGTTGGCTGGTAAAGACCAAGCTGGTAATTCCTCCTCACAGCTACCCTCTCTGCCCAACCGCTTCCAGTAACATGCAGTCACCCAAAACTGCAGAGCTCAAGTTTTAAGACATAAATATGGTTTCAAAAAATAAAAATAGCCAGATTAAAAATACTGCATAGGCATTTTATGAAAATCTGAATTAAATTCAAACTACGATTTTGGCAGTTTAAGTAAAAAAAGATTTTACTGACAGGAAAGAAATACTTCTGGAAAATTGTAAAAGCTAATTGCCACAGCAACACAGTAGGATTTCTCTTCAGTCTTAGATGTGGTTTCAAATGGCAGAACAAGAATATCATAGCTCTTCAAGTACCTACTCTGAAAGAAAAACCATCTGAAAACAAGTTTTAAATAATTTCATTTTAATCTTAAAGAAAAAACAATCTCAGATTAGTTGAATATCTCACACTAGAAATCACCCTATGAAGTGCCTACTGGCATTAGCGAGCTGGTGTTGGGCCAGAGGCTTGACACACTTCTGAGGGTCAAAGGGACATAATTCCTAAGGTCAGCCACACACAGCCCAGCCCAACCGCTTGACTCAGCTGCGACCTAAAAGGCTGAAGTGTTCCCATGCTTCAGAGGGATCAGGCTTCCTCAGAGAAGCTCTCGTCACAGCTGACCTTGATTTATTTGTGGTTTTGCACAGTAAGTTGGACAGACTATGCTACCAAGCTATCAGAACATGCATCATATTTCTCACCAGGAAGTCCTAATGTCACCCCATCACTGGTATATGAACATTTCTAGAAGCAACATTGATCACTCCATCATTAAAAGTGCCCCTGTAATAACTAAAAATAAAATTACAAAGACGACTCTAATGTCTTTTGTAACGAAAAATGTCAGATTACAAAGTCATACTCCAACCATGGTGTACCTACAGTGGTTAGATATTACATGATACTACTTCGTGTCCCAACACGAGGGTGAAAGCTAAGTTCCTAGATACTTCTGCCCTCCATACATGGGAAGAGCTAGAGCTTTTGTAACAACCACAGATTTTCTCTCCTTCCTGATTACCAACCAGTAATTATAATACGGAAAATGGAAATCCAGGGAGCTTTGGATACACTTTAGCCTAAGCTCTGAATTACTTTTGTTCTTCTTCACCCAAAACAGGAGCTGAAATTTCAACTTGTAGTGCTGCAGATTTTATTTTGGTATAGTGCTGTTGTAATTTCCACTGAGTGAAACTTCCATCCCACATTTGAGAAAAATAAATTCCTGTATCGTTAATAATTTCCCCTCCTAGCGAACACACTGTCCTCTCGCTGTCTACAAAACAAGGCAATGAGACAACTGCATACAACAGTGACCTCTGGAGGTCATGCCACAATCCTGGAAAAAAAAATTAGTACAAATCAAAATACCTGGACAACGCACAATTTACTATATAGCATCTATTTGCAAGCTTCTGTCACATTCTTCCTTAGTTTTCATGCACATAAAGGGCAGACGTCAGCCACAAACATCATTAGTTTTTTGACTACTCTGTTTGTAGTTCATTGATAAACATACAAAGCAAATCCTTTACTGCTCCCTAGAGCAACCTACAAATAATACAGTAACAGGCCAAACTTAAATCCTGATTTGGGATAGATTCATTTCCACAGAATAAATTAAGACGATAAGCAGCTTGCAGTTTACACTGCAAACAGCCATAAATACAGGTTTCACATTCCCATTTTGCTGAAGATCCAATTTTCTGTTCAGTTCAGCATTTCATCTGGATTTAATCCCTTATTTTCTGAGCAGTTATCTGAATGCTAGCTGAAAAAAAAAAAAGAGAGAACGAAAAATCTGTCTTTAGCCATCATCCAGAAGAGCAGTATGCACAAGTGTTTCAATTTCCAAACAAATATTTCTCATCTGTTTGAAAGCCACACTGGAAATGGAGTGAAGCCAAGAGATGAGTTTCTTGGGTTGACTGGAAAGTTTTGAAAGGAAGGGTGGAGCTATAAATAGAGCTGCTCTAGTTCAGGTTTGCGGAGTTGTCATGAAAATTCACCAGTCCAGACAGAATGTCTGAAACATCTACAAATCCATCCATTGTGTGAGAATTTCAGAAGCTGGGGGAGGCGGGTTAAAAAAAAAAAAAAAAAAAATCTGTTATTTTGCTAGCTTGTCCAAGAAAGTAATGATCCTGGGCAGGAAAACAATTCCATTTCTGCAAAATCATTTTAGAACAAGGATGGCAAAATTTAGGGAGTTTGGTATAACCAGACCAGTGATGTTCTCATTATTCATTAATTCCAAGGATAACCTGTCCAAATGTCTTTTAAGGCCATCTTTCCAACACAGAATCCAGTCACCTTCAAGATGACGCTGCAAAATCAGAATTTCGAATATTATTGAGAATAACATTCAACATACAGACCGTATGTTAATAATTCCTCCCTTTTTCTGTTTATCTGTGGTTTCTTCGTGTCTTCTTAGTTGTGCAAGTAGTTCTGATTCTGTCTGTTTCTTGTTGAGTGGTAGGGAAGACGCGACTGCAGAAGCAGCCTCCACCAGATCTGGATTTAAAGGTTTGCCTCTGTAAGAGATGCAACAGATATGGAAATACAAAAAAATAAAAGCCTAAATATATTTGTTATTTCTGTACTGTTATTTTAAGTCTTAATAACTCAGAAGTTACAGTTACACATTATCCCAAATGCGGGTGGCCAGAGGGACCGCTGCTTTTGCCGTACATTGCACTAATCGTCAACTGCCAAATAGCACTGACAAGAGCTCTTGTTCTCAAACCTGGGAAAACGGCAGCGCTACATCACTGCATAGCCCCCTGGACACAAAGCTTGAAGACCGCAGGCACCATAGACCTGCAGGGTTAGAAACATGATGTAACACATCACGGAGGGGAGCCACTCACAAGACTTGACAATCACAATGCCATTCTTAAGTATTTTTTTTCCTTTTTATTCAGTTTTATTGTATTTTATCTGAACAGTATTTCCCCCCTCCCATTAAAATAACTTTCCACAGGCAGGTGCTAGTGATACCTTTCAAGAGCCTAAGTGCAGAAAAAGATAGCATATGGTAGAAAGCGTACAACACCTTTTGTCCAGATTGTCCCCTGTGATTTACTGCAATCTACATCTGTATACCACATTCCCTTACAAGACTCTTTTCCATACTTGGAAATGGCATTTGATCTTTTTATTTTGTCCTAGATAATGGAAAAAACAATTTGAAAAAAGGAGAAAACAAGCTAAGAAAAGTTTGTTATACTTTACCGCTGCATGTCTTCTGTAGTTCTCTGAAGCATAGCACCTTCACTGTCCGGGCCTTCCAGCTTGTCTGCGGCTTGCTTTTTGATCTCACGTGTTTTTAACTCTTGGAGTTTCTTCCTGTAGCTCACTTCTACTTTCATATTACCAATAATGTCTAACAACTTCTGCTTCGGTGTTTCTGCTGTACTTTCCCGACTCTTTGATGCCACTTCAGTGGTGCTGTCTTTGGAATCAGATTTATCTTTCTCAGTAGAAAGCACGCTGCTTGTGCTGAAGAGTTTCTGTATTTGGCTAGACGATATACAAAGTTTAAAAAAAAAAAAAATTCAGAAGCTACAAATAGGATTCAAGGCTAAATTTTGTAAGCCTACAAAAAAAACATCAGTAACAACTGTCTACGTCTAACTGAGTGCAAACTATGTTAAGAACATGTCAAACATGCGCCTTTTGACTTTTGAGAAGGGCTGGGTCACTATTATTTCTCTTGATTATTTATGATTTCTTCATCACAAAAATCAAGTAAACAACTGTATTTCCTCCACAAATAAACTGTGTTTAATTTAAGAACTTAAAACTTTTAAAGTATTTCTGCATCAGGTAGGAGACTGAGAGTTTGAATCTACTGGTACCTGATGCTTAAATTCATTAGTACTGTAGAAAACTCACTGAAACTCTGACAATGAGGCAACAAAAAGATCATTCCTAGCTGCCTGAAAGAAGACTGTACACACACAATGAGTTTCACATCATTTCACACTTGTGGCACTACTACGGATCACATTCCCCTACCCTGTGCCCTGCAATATAGCAGCCAAGCATTTGTGCAGCCATATGGGGAAACGGATCCTGCTGCAAGATAACCCAGTAACAAACAAAAAAGGTAGTTTAGCTATTTTTCCCTCTGGAACAGCTCTTCTACCTAGTTTACCACATCACTGCAAAAACAAGCTAAAACTGGCATGGCGCAGATGAGGACGCGAAACCAGGGACAGCAGGGAGCTGCTCAGGATATTGCTGCACCACAGACACAAATGCATTCTCTGGAAAAACTTATCATAAAATTCAAAGAACTATGCTCTTTAACATTCAAAACCAAAACATTTAAATCTTTAAATTCACAACTACTTTTTTGTTTAAAAATCATCTTCAACTTACTAAAATAAAGAAAAAAACCCCTTACAACTAAATATTTATTTTGATTCAAAATAAAACACTTCAACAGATCTTAAAACACTTCGACAAATCTGAAATAAGTTTGACATACCTTCCTCCCTTACACACACCTCCCTGGCTAAAAAAGAAAAATCTGCTAGTATCAGCAGACACCACATTATTACTTCGGTCACTATGCACTTAATAAATTGTCAGCATTAAACCCTCAATTTCAATGTTGAGAAACAACAGGAAAATTTAAGGAAAGCTTCAAACCACATTATTGAGAAGATGGTAGGAGTCCTGCTGTTTTACACTAGCTGTTCTCCACTGATCTTTTTCAAACACATGTTTTTCATCAATTCAGACTGCGTGCTCCTTAAAACTATTTATCCACTCAAAGACCTTTGCTTGCTTACAGCGTCAGAAAAACACAGCAAGACTGCAAGCCTTAAACATCTAAGGCCAGTAGTACATTACAGTTTGCATTACTGTATTTCACCTATCATCAGGTTTGTCTTCTGCTTGGAAGCCCAGCCTTAGAAAGCAAACACACTTACAAAAGAAACCAAGCTGCTTTATACACGAGACTATCACAGTATCGGAGCTTGATCGAGAATATCAAGGGGCTTTGAAATTAAAAAAGTAAACGTACAATTAACTTTTCATTAAAAGCAGTTAAACTATTTTAATATAAATAAAAACAAACTTCCAAATACTACTTTAGCCAGTGCTTTAGGTATGCACCTCTGCCAACATGCAGCACCGCTCTGCTGATACACACGCTGTAAGATTATGCTCAGGTCACACAGAATCATAGAATCATTATGGTTGGAAGAGACCTCAAAGATCATCAAGTCCAACTGTATACCTGATGCTACCATGCCCGCTAAACCCACTAAACCATGTCTTGAAGCACCACATCTAAACGATTTTTGAACACCTCCAGGGATGGTGACTCCACCACCTCCCTGGGGAGCCCGTTCCAATGCCTAACGACTTTTACGGTGAAGAAGTTCTTCCTAATATCCAACCTGAACCTCCCCTGGCGCAACGTGAGACACATATCCCTCACAACACTGGAAGATGAGAAGGACGGCAGGGAAAGCAACACGAGAAACACAACCCAAACCACTCCCCTCTACCTGACTTCACTCTCCCGATGACTTCTGCCCACCGGTGCCAATAGCGCACAGCCCCAGCAGGACAGACCGACTCGGGCTTGGCCTGTTTGCTGTCCGGGCGGGTTTAAACCCCGAGGCACCCGGGAAG